ACACACACACACACACACACACACACACACACACACACACACACACACACACACACACACACACACACACGACAGGGCGCACTAACGCGGCTTTAGGGTGACGATATACACCCAGGAGGCAAAGACATTGCATGGATAAGGAACAGTCCTGACGGCAAGTGCAAGTTGTTGCACAGCGTCGTCAAAGTCCCAGACACCAGACAGCTTGACTCTCTGAACCAGCTGAGTGACAGGAACAAGCGGTGCCGTGAATGCAAACCCGCGCACGTCGTACGCATGCTGCACCTGCATCAGTGATGGCAAGCTGTCTCCCAATACAGTCATGCTGTTGAACAACACGAGCTTCTCAGCAGCCGACAGCGACGTGCGAAGCGCTCGCGCCACATGCTGGTTCCACCTGCAACATGAGGAAAGGAAGCATGCGAATACAACCAAGGTGTGAGCTGTCACGAATATGGAGCATGGGCAGAACCCCAAAAACAACCAAACAAACAGAACAAATCATCGAACGTACTACAAGCACCATGGGCAACACCAACGACTGGTTTGTGGAATCAGATGCACCTTGTAATTCGTCGCTTGCGCCAACCTTCCACCTCGCGAACAAGCAGTTGCTCCAACGTCTCGTCAATCTGCCTGGCATGCTCAGCACTAGCACGCGGTAATAGCACCGCCTCTCTCTGTCATTTGCACACACAGAGAAGCGTAAGCGCCGAGGGGCAAGTTCCATACATCTTCCATATTACGAGCACGGATGAAGAAACACTTGCACGAGTGAGTACCTTGGCAGTTGCGAGGTCGATGCTGAAGTGGTGTTGACCAAAAATGGGCAGCCAGGCTGGCTTGGAGTCCAGATTGAACGTCATCCTCGCCGGATCATCAAACTCCTTCAATCACACACACACACACACAAACACAAACAACACACACACACACACACACACACACACACACACACACACACACACACACGGGGGAAGACAGCATGCTGGTCAGGTAGCACAGTGTATGGCAGACAGCATGCTGGTCAGGTAGCACAGTGTATGGCAGACAGCATGACATTTCATCACCACAAATGGGCGCAGGACAGAGCCCCACCGCACCTGTTGATTGAGCCAAATGTTGGATTGATTGAAAACAGTGCCAATGCAGGACAGTGGCACGGCTGTATCTGTGCATGCGTAGGGCTGTCCGCTCGAAGGGCTCCACAACAACAGCGTGCCACTCCCGCTCGTCAATGACTGTTGTCGACTGCTGGCCTCGTCGTCGCTGCCACTGTCATCGCTGTCCCTGCTGTTTCCAGCTGACCGCATACCAACCGGCAGCTGCGCGAGGACAAACGCTGTCGGACCATCGGGGACGGAGACACCGAGCACAACCCATGCCGCAAGTCGCTCATCAAGGCCCAGCAGCAGGTTTGCCAGAAGAACAGCACGCTCGTGTGCATTGCATGCCCCGAGCTGCAGCGTCTGCTCACATGTGGCCCACATGTCCTGGCCCGTGCCGGCGAGATGGGTGGCCACGTCCGCTTGTGGCAAAAGTGACACAAACCGTGCACGAGCTGTCATCCTTGCAAGCAGGTCGTCACGGGGGATGTCAGGCAGCACGTCCTCGCCAAGGGGTTGTGGATGCACGAAGCGGTTCAAGAAGACCTGCCACACGATAATATGCAACAAGCAAATCAGCAACAAGCAACGAAAGTGCAAGGGCGAACGCATATGAAGGTGACATGAATACAAGGACATGAGGCGGGGATGTGTGTGTACCTGTGCGTGTGCGTGTGTGCGTGTGTGTGCGTGTGTGTTTGTGGGGCAAGTTCCTTCGAAAACGTGTGGCGCCAATCAATACCTTGTAACCTGTGAGCGTGTTCGCGCAGGCATGGAATCGGCGGCCTGCGTGCTTGGACTGGAACGAGGCGACGAGGTTGGATGCAAAGGTGATGTGAGCAGCATCTTCGTGCGAAAATGCGCGAGCTGGCGGGGGGTTTGGCACCCGTACGGGCGGGTTGAGGGCCAAAAACACGGAACAGCGACATGGGGGTTGCGTGTTCTTGAGACGGTCGAGTCGCGTTGAAACTGGGGCAGGGTGGATGTCAATCTCGCGCTCCTCGTCATCTATGCTGAAGAACCGCACATCAGCCCCAGGCCCTGCGAAAACCACATCAGCCACAACGCAGAAGTGCAAGCACGACAAGATACACGGCAGGCAGAGCATTCACAACAAGGTGAGAGGATTGAAGAGAGGGGGGGGGGATGGGCGGTGAAAACGTGCGATGAAGTTGGGCAACATCTGTGTGGGCATGAGCCACACAACACAAGGGAAGAAGAGACGTGCACTTGTAGTGGCACGCACACATACACAGGAAACAAGCACACACACAAGGTAAAATACACACACACACACACACACACAAGCACACAGGTAAACAACACACAGGTAAAAATACACGTACACACACAGACACACACAGACACAGACACACAGACACACAGACACAGAAACACACACACACGCGCAACCAATAGACGGTGCGCGTGCACAAGGTACGGATGCACGCACCTGGAATATCGAAGCGGTGCAAGATAGTGGGCAGGCTGAAGGAAAACGTGCCCTGAATGCGTGACTGGGCCAGCAGTGTTGCCATTGGCAAGGAAAACACGGCGACCAGCACTCGTGATGTGGGTGTGTTGCTGTCACTTGCAACGTGCTGAAATAGCGACATCATAAGATGGTCATCACTGTCTTCCGTGGGATGATCGCCACCCGCACCACCACTGGCAATGCCGCTGCCGCTGCCACCACCACCACCACCATTGCCGTGTGGCCTACCGCCAGTGGCATGCACACCATGTACAGCCTTGCTTTGCCGTTTGGATCCTTGCGGTGGTGGGTGATATGCAAACTCCATCTCCTCGTTGAACGTCGGGTTTGGTCCGACGGCGATGCCGCTCGTCTGGTCCGTGCCTGTGTCAACAACAGCAGCAACACAATGCATGAACATTCGTATTCGGCGGCATAAGTACAAGTGCCACTAAGGGTAGACCGAGAGGGAGAAGGCATCCATGCCAACACAAGGCTCAGACACAGACTCACACCCACCCAAACGCACACACGGACACGGACACGCCAACACACACACACACACACACATGTACATACACACATGTACATGCACGCATACACAAACACACACACACACACACACACAAGGACGCATACACAAACACACACATACGTACACACACACACACACACATACATACATACATACATACATACATACATACATACATACATACACACACATACACACCTTGCAAGGAGACTGTGATTGAGTAAGCAGCACCGTTGATGTTGGCACCGGATGGCCCATCGCCAGATGTCATGGTGGCCATGCGCGCAGACATGGTCGCCTGCCGCGCTCGCCGCCGCCGACCACCACCACCGCCAGCAGCACCACCACCACTTGTCCCCAAAACACCTCCGCCACCACCGCCACGACCCGTGCCAGCACCACCAGCGTCCACAAACGCAGGTACGTTGTACATGCGCCCGAGCCTGACAAACACGACGAGCTTCGTGGGCTGAAGCCGTGCAGCCGCTCGCTGGGGAACGCGCTGCGGGCGGAGTGGGCGGCGCTGGGCGAAGAAGCGGAGGATGGCTGCGCCGAGTGACTTGAACGAGGGCAGGGCCTCCTCCGACACCACGTCAGACAAGCGTGGCTTGTCCTTCGCCTGCTGTTGCCGCTGCTGGTGCAGGCGCGCAAGGTGGGCCAGCGTGGCGGCAAACTGCTCTTTGTTGAGGTGGACGAGGCTGTGTAGACGTGCAAGCAGCGGGTCCTCCACAGCAGGAATGGTTGGAACAAGCGACGCGCTCTCATTCAGCGGGCCCGACGTGTCCAGCGCCTGGGCGTGGTCACCACCCCCAAACGCGGTCACACCGTCAACAGCGCTTCGCCGCGGTGCGTGGCTGCCAAGCAGATCCAGCGTGTCTGCACGCGATTGGTGCAGGCGAAAGTGCCTGGCGGCAAGCTGGCGTTGCCGCAGCTGCGCCTCCAGCATGGATTGGAGCGCGACGCCACCACCGCCCACGTCACCGGCGGCGGTTGGCTGGCGGGGGTCGTTTGGGTCTGTAATGCCTGCAGGCACGCCTGCTGTCGGTGACGGCCGCTGCCTCGCCCCTTGCGCCGCTGCACCCGCACGCGCGCTGCCGTCACCACCGCCACCGGCACCAGTGTTGTTGCCGCCGCTGCCGCCGCTGGGTACGCTGAGCGTGTAGTGGACGGTTGCGCTGCAGAACGTGGGGTCGTGCATGTGTCCCTCGACGACGACGCCGGGGCGGGACAGGTGGTGGCTCTCCACCTCTGCCGGCTGCGCACGCGATGCGTCCAGCAGCGGCCGCGCCCCAATGTGGGTGGCAGGGACGTACACGCCACCAAGGTACACGGGGCGGGTGGTGGCAGCCGCAGAGAGGTGGATGGCGATGGCAACAACGGGCGTGCGGCGGGAGAGGACTTGCAGGGACAGCGTACGGCTGAGCGTAGCAGTCATGGTGGACCCGTCAATGTTGGAGATGGGGACCTGGTCAACCTTCTTGTCGACGCAATACACCGTCACCTACAATACCAATGCAGGAGATGATGCGTTGATTAGGCTGACGACAGAGAGTGTGTGCGTTTTGGGGGGGGGGGAAGCAGAATAGGGATGTGCGAGGGTGAAACAGGGGAGCAAAACTTCCAAAGGCGAGGGCGGTGATTGCAGCTCACACAACGCCAAGCGCCAGCCTGCACCTCCTACTCCTATCACTCACTGGCCCACAGACAGACAGACACAGACACACACACACACACAAACACAAACAGGAAAACAGCCCTGAAAAGGACGTACGTGTCCCTTGAGGCTGGTGGCAGCTGCGCGCCTGTTGACTTCGTATTGAGGGCATTCATCGTCGTCAGCGATACGCGCTGTAAAGCGCAGCACGGGGATGAGCGTGTCCTGTCCCGGTGGCGCCCAACTGCGCGCCATTCGCTCGCTGATCCGGTCCGCCTCTCCGCCCGCCCACTCCCGCGCAGCAGCAACTGCGCTCGCATTCGATGCCTGTTCTCTATTTTGGACACGGCCACCGCGGTCATCATCGTCCACGCCCTGTTCATCTCGATCATTGCCTCCGGGTTCGCCAGCAGGTCGCTCGCCCCTGCTGCCCGCGCCCTGGCTGGTTTTGCTGGCGCCCGAGCGCTGTTGTGCACCGAAAAGGCACAGCAGGCGGCGTTGGTGTTGCGCATTCGTGAGCTGACACACACAGAGCAGCACCAGAGTGGCTGTCATACTCCTCACCATGGGCCAACAACGCAGGCCAACGTTCACACAGGCACACACACCCACACGCACACACAGAGAGACAAGCCGCAGAGAGACAGAGAGACAGAGACAGACAGACAGAAAGACACCCGCACACCCCCGCACACCCCCGCACACACACACACACACACGCACACCCACATCCCCCACCTTGTCGAGGGTGTTGAGGATATGCAGGGCGGTGGCGTGGAAGACGGCGCGACGGTGGCACTGCAGGCGAAGGCGCTCGTCCTCCTGCTCGCTGTTGGGCACGCGGTCAAACTTGAGGTCCACCTTGGTCCCCGTGAACCCTTGCGACACACGAAGCGCTTTGATGTCGCGCCAGAGCGAAATCATGTTCTGCAGGATGCGTCCAACTTCGCGCAGGACAAAGTCGCGCTCCGTCTCCAGTGCAATCACGTCCTGCAATGACGTGCGTACCCTGAACACACGCGCAAAGGAGGCGGTGGCGGTGGCGGTGGTGCGTGCGTTTGTGTGTGTGTGTGTGTGTGTGTGTGTGTGTGTGTGTGTGTGTGTGTGTGTGTGTGTGTGTGTGTGTAGAGGCGGGAGTGCATTTGAGTGCAGAGGGAGAGCACATGCAGACATGTGTGTCTCTGGCGTCGACGATGCTGCCACAAAAGATACGCGAGAGAGAGACACGTACACACACACACACAGACACACAGACAGACACACAGACATACACACACACACACATAGCGGCGAAGCGAACCTTGCTGCCTGGTCTTTGGGTAACGCAGATAATGCTGTGTGCAGAGCAGACACATCACCGAGCACATCCACATCGGCCGGATCACGCGTATATGCAAAGGCATTGGCGACGTTTGTGGAGAGCACAGAGAGCTTCTCGTGCATGAGGGGAATGCGAGCGGGAGCATTGAGGGCCTCGAAGCGCTGCTGTAGCGCAATGAGCTGAGACGCAAGCACCTGCCGTTGGCGTGAAGGGGGGGGGGGAGGAGGAATGGGATGATGAGATGGTGATTACGAGTGTTGCGGAGGGGCGGGTGTGTGTGTG